GGACATAATATGAGGTGGAGGTTGGCGTGATGAAAGCACTTCCGTGGCCGGCTTCCCCCTTATTTGGGTAATTATCAGACTTTTTCGGATATCATCTTCGAACGCGTTGAATTTGTCATCAGATTTCCTTCGTCGCATCAATACAATGCAAAATACAATCGTTAGGAGCGTAAGTGATGCGAGGAGCCCTGAAAAGAAATACAGTAAGACTTGAGGTGAAATGGGCGGAGCGATCCGTCAGGATCTTCGGGGAAGCGCCATCCCAATCCTATACTCAAATTTTAAAAGGCCATTTACCGATAGCGCCGTAAGCGACTTTCCGAGTAAAGATGGGCTCTTCTGGTACTGTGATAGTAGTAACTGATTCATTGAAGTACACTGAAATATTGTTGTTTTCATGAATAAATATGATAAACAATGAGTTAACTAAAGGTTATTGAGGAAAATGCGATTTCCCAAGCAGAAACACTGGGGTAGTCATGGAATCATCACACATTAGGTAGTTACAATTGGATAACTCACGATTATAACCTATTGGCTCATTGTACAATCGACCTGAAGTAACCGATCTGGATATCTGGTTGAATATACTAGTTTTTTGTGATCATTACTGCTTTACTACTCATACAGTATATTTTTATAAAGTTTAGTTTTTAACTCGCTTTTTACAAATTATTCAAAATTAAGTAGATCCTCGCTCGCCGGATCGCCGAGCCCGCCGGGGCAACCAACCAATAAGAGGCGCGCTGGGAACGGCAAGAGCGGCAAGGCGTCTCTGATTGGCTGGCTTTGTACTTCACAACCCTGGACCAATCAGCTTAGTCCAACCACACATTTATGCCTCCATTATTTTCCCCNGTCAGGTTGATTTTGTCAATTAATATTCAATATATAGCGATGCTTCTTTTTAACGCCAATCCATCCTAGTCAATCTCACTGCCGAACTGATGGCAAGACTTTCCACTAGTGCAAACAGTGATTCCAAGAACCTATGCGAAATGCTACTTTTTGCCATGAATACTGTAGTTTTTTTTTTAAAAACCGTGATGGAACCTTATCCCTGCATGTACAGTTTATCAAGAAAGATAAGTATTTCAAACAAACCTGATGAGAAATGAACTTCTGTGAGAAAAATCCAATCGTTGGCAAACCATAGGGTTACTCGTATTTTCTTTGCCATTCGTCTATGTAGTGGAATACGATAATCATTTCTAGATGAACACGTAGTTAATAATTGATGATAACATGCCGTAAAACACTGTAGGAGATTACCGTTTGCTGGAAGAATTTGAAGATCTACTCAATGAAGAAATTTGCGACGAAAGCGAGAAATTCGTTCCATCCGTACTAAAAATTGTGATTTGAATCCTTATGAATTTTCAAAAAGAAAGGATGTAGCCGTCAGGATTTAGCCGTGCCTCCATGGAATAAGCCATGATTTAAACTGTTAACAGGAAGAAAGGCAGTATTTGAAGGGATTTATGACGAANATGACTTGAATTTCCACCCCCAAAAGATGAGAAACTCTCGTGACCTGGGTAGATTTGGCTCTGTCGTCTCAGGCGCTACATTTTCCAGTCCTCCAACTACGGCTCAAAGCGGTGAAAATACTCGAATAATGGTCAACATCGAATGTATTGACGGGGATATCCCAGAATAAAAAATTGTAAGACGTTGTAACCGATGATAACGAAATATATAGGGATAGGAAGTAAGAAGAGCGTTAAATAAAAATAAAAGAGTTATGTAAACAGTAGCTACAGACAGAATACAACCGGAAAGAGTACCAACCAACCTGAATATAACATCAATATTGCTGAGCCGTCCATAGGCTACCAGCACTATTTCGGAAAAATTTCGGAGTTGATCAAATTCGAACAATAAAGTCACCATACCCTCTGGAAAGAATTACAAAATATAAATTCATGGTTGAAATCGCAGAAGTCCATCCCAAAGCATACCTGTATGGTGCCTACTCCATCCTATCCACGAGCCGTTTTGATTACTTTCATCGAAGGGAGAACTCTCGGCTATATACCCGTCACTTAGAAGACCAAGGCCTCTGAAAAAACTCTGTCAGTTGAAGAAAGAGTCCAGCAACAAATGCAGCAGCGCCTTTTTTATCCTGGGACGATCGCTGATCGATCGATCGGTGGGCAGAGCGCAACTTGTCGCGGTTCGCCGCGCGCGATTTTTCCGCTTTTCCACTTACTGTACAAATGCACAGCTTGTGAGGCGCCTTATTATGGCCTCGCTGCACATACTCACCTTTTAATTCCCGTCTCAGTGTACAAGTCAGTATTTTCGAATGTAGTGTCTCGGAAATCAACATTTCCAACTCGTGAGCCACCCGGAATGGTCGCGTAGTACAGCAGCCCATCTGTAAACAGAAGGAGTGACTTTTTAACCGGAAAGAGGCCGTTCGTCCTCACCTTTATGAAGACATCCATGTAATTCAGCTCGAAGGCAGATGGTCCTGGTTTGTTTCGAGTGAGGTACTATCCGCAACTTTGATGCGAACAGTGGCGGATTAAGTACCCGCATAACAGCGGAGGTCGTATCAGAATTACCGGTCATTATCTGTAGTAAAGTTAGGCTTTTTCAAAATCTTATCTCAAAAATTCATTGTAGGTCAAGATAAAATTCAATAAATTACCGTATGGCCAGTACGATTCACATATCGTATCCATTTACTTCCAGGTCTCAAATAGTCGATCATATATTCGGCCACAAACTCTCGCCCTGTACCGTTACCATATCGCCCTTGTGTTTCGATCGCAGTGATAATATGGGTATTTTCGAGATTTATCTGGAACAGTTTTTGATGCTAGTGATACTGATTGATTTTTGATGATAAAAGAAGATATGGTGTGGTAACGAGAACTGCAGAAAAAGGGTAAACAACTTTTCTCCTTGACTACAACTTTTTTGACCCCTATCAAAGTAACAGTCTGCGCTGCAGGTGCAGATGTAAACATCGGGCAGCTGACCAATAAGGGGCTTGTTGTGCACATGTCGATTCCTAATGGCTGACCACCTGGATTACGTCACTGGGTGACATCTTTATCGAGTTTTTAGTGAATTTACCACTAATTAGCGGTACTTGTTGGATTTTGTGGAAATGCAATCTGGAAACCTGCGGAAGATTTTTAGAAAGCACTTAATTCCATCACCACTAGAATATAACACGGGCTATATTGAAAATTAAAAAAAAATTCAGTGCTGGGCCAAAAAGTACCTCCCATGAGATCAGAATCAGCTGTATTGGTCTCAGTTAAGCCAGTTAATTCCACATATTAGTTGACTGGGATCTCACTTGACTTCAAGAACGAAAGCAGTGGCTGATGAGTATAACCGAAAAGGCAGTGTCTTTCTACTGGGTATCCAGAAAAGGTCCGAGTCAACTATATAGTGGATCTTTTCTCCACGGTTGACAATTGACTCAGAATCGGGAAGGCTCATTACTGAAGGAGATTCTTCAATTCTTGACTGTCATGATACGCTCATAAATTTCACCTCTCTCTATAAATGTGGATTAATCGTCACTTATCAGCATATAATCTTGTCAAAGTGTACCTACAAGTACCTACGATTTTTGATGAAATTCTTATTAGTGGAGCAAATCTCGCACTGACCCATTATTTATTTACACCTGTAGGATAGTTTACAGCCCAACTTTTCAGCATGGAGTTGGAGACTTTCAGGATGACCTCNGAATTCTACTTAGTGGAGCAAATCATGCACTGGCCCAACTACTTATTTACATCTGTAGGATAGTTTACAGCCCAACTTCTCAGCATGGAACTGGAGTCTTCCAGGGTGACCTCCTTTTCCGAAATCCCCGAAGTTCCCCCACTACTAAGCCAGTGCCGATGTTGCAGATGCAATCGGAAGGGATGTACTGGCGATGAAACAAAGAGCACTCAAGGGAATGCATGGCAGGTGATCATGCATCATGGCGCGCCCATATACGGAAATGACGTCGGTCGTTACGGAGGGTCATTTTAACCTCTTGAAACTTTGAAACTAGGTCAGGACACTTTTAGGCAGTAATACGAAGCAGTAAGTTCAAAAGTAAGCAAAAATACCAGTTTTTAAGTGTAGTTCTAAAGTGAAGTACGCTCCCTTCACGTAAGCCAGATGAGAACGACATTGTTCGAGTACTTAAACGACTTTCACGGAAACAAATAGTTTTTCCAATAGGGTAAACGCTTTCTATTGAGAAACCGGTTTTCAGGGAGAAAGGAACAGCAACTGGGAAATAATCGTTTCATACTCGATATTTTGGATAGTTTTTATCAAAAAACCACACACGTACTTATTTGTTCCTATTGATAATACGTGATACATAGATGTACCATGTTTAGTGTTAGTTGAGGGAAAGTTTTTGACAAGTTATGGAACCTTAACTTCGCAAAATATTCGCATTTACTTCGTGAAAAAGTAGGAACTTCCCTTCCGCCAGTTAGCTGAATCCAAAAATACTATAGTTTCTTTTGGTTTATATTATTTTTCTCTTTACCTTGTTTCATTTATTTTATTTTATATATTATTTTAGTTATGTAATTTTACTTTCTATTTATTTTCATTTTTTTCAATTCCACAGAAATATGTAGCACATGGATATGTATCATCAAAGTCAGTCTTAGTCATTAGTAATTAGTGAAAATCAGCATTTATCAGTAATTATACCACTTTACTGACACATATGTGAAAGGATCACTATTGTTAGCACTTATGTAAGATTACAAAAAATATTGACTTGGTTTATTAAATAATCCTGTTATCACAAGTATAATTCAATGTTACGGATTACATACTGAATTAACTTCCAAATAATTGTATTATCAAATGTATCATTCACTATTGTATTATGTATACTATCATATATAACTACTATCACAAATTACAATGTTGAGCACAATTAAATATGGATGGGAGGAAGTTTTGCAAATGTATCATTAACCCTGCGTAAAGTAACCTTATTCGTTATCCCTGGGGACCAAATCAGCTGATAAAAAAACTTAGAAAGTGCGAAAAATAAATGAGCAAAACTTGTAGGGACTACTGGACTTTTTATCCAAGGATTTAACTGCCCATGTCGACTATTTGCACTATGTAGCCCTTAGTCCATTACACGACTCGCGTGAATACTGGTATGAGCTATGAGTACGCCATTCAGTGTTGAGGAAAAACTGGGCTCTGCTTCAGCAAAGAATGAAGCTTTCGTGTAGATCGCATCCAACCCTTCTGAAGACGAGCGACATGACTTTAACGAGAACCGCTCTTTTGAAAGAACACAAACTCTAACGACAAAGCGACTTCCCTCCCGC